GGCATGACAAACTAACATAAAGGAAGAAAAAAAACATGTTGAAAAGTGGATTAGAATAACATGACTTATCCAAACATTACAATAATCACAATGACAAGAAAAGATCATGATAGTAATCATCAGTAATAATAAGAAATAATATAAAGTAATAATATCAACAGGCAAACGATACATTACAGAACAAAGGAGAGAATCAATGGAAGCATGCATTCTAATATTGAGTTCCAGAATCAGATATTCAAACGACATATATTAAATTAATCAATTCTATTAGATATCATGAAGTTGTAGACAAATAGAAAAAACAGAAGCATTGTTTCACAAAACCAATAGAATAAAGCCTTCAAGGCTTAATGTTTGGGTGCCAGCAGACCTCAATGGAGCGTAATTTCAGTGCCTGGTTTTCATCATCAGACTGTTTAAGCTTTTGTAGTCTCCCCTGCTCTAGATTCAGAGCACTTTCTGCTGCCTTGAGTATGTTACCTGCCATTAAATTGCCCAGTTCATGTATCAGATGGTGGAAAACTTTTGGAAAGAAACAATTGAAAAGCCCATGAAAAGAAAGAGGTGCAAGAAAGTTCTTTTATTTCCCATTTATAGGAGAAATACCTGCCTGGGAAGTGGGAACCAGTTATGGGGTATCAAAGACAGGATACATGCCTAAAGAGGAATTCAACATGAATTCAAGCAAAGAAAAATTTTGCATCGCAAATGAGTAGAAATGGTTAACCACGATTAATTGAGATAGCATAGGTTAGTAGTCGAGCATGTAAGACAAATGCAATGAAAAGTATATACAATGAGCATGTTGGGGTGGAACAACTTACTCAAAGTTCACTGGAACAGCTTTTACTTGAAATGCAAAAAAAACCTTTCGGACACATCAACAAAGAATATTGAAAGCAGTACCATAAAGAGGCCATTGCAGGCACACCATATCTAGAAACTTACCAACAAAACAGTAATTATATAAAAAGGCCAATCAAAAAGACCACAGCTTCTGCTTTAGCTCGTTCTTGTCTTGTCGAAGTTTTTCCTCTTGCAGAGAGTTTTCCTTTCTTTTAGCATCTTCATAAGCTCCATCAATTCTTATTTTTCTTTCTTCTATTTGAGATCTGACTTCATGGTCTCGCTGGACAGCAGCCAAGTGATTATTAAGTGCTTCTGCTCTGCCAGTGATTTAATAATTGTATTATCAATTAGATTAACCGGCAGAGATATTACTGAAACCAAGAAAGAATAAATGAAAGTTGAATTAAGCATTCAGATTTTAAGTTCTCCTTCATATAAAATTTTATATTATGTCCCATAAAAAATATGTTTCCAAACAAAGCTGATCACAAGTAAAGTTATAATCTGGCCAATGGCCAAAAGAAAAAAAGAACAATTTTAGTAACAATATGTAGATAGACATTTAAAAGACGCTCCCACAGGATTTCAGAACAGAACAGAATCAGAAAGCTTAAAGAGTGATATGAAGACTAATTGCTTATTATTGTTGTCCGAAAAAAATCAAGATTTCAAACATAATAAAGCATGGGCTTCTCTACTACCTCTAATAACTGAACTAAACTGATCATCATCCACGATGCAAAGCTGTATATGGAAACATCTACTTACAGAGGTTCCTATCTTGTCTTTGAAAACAAGGTCATCATCCACTAAACTTTGGATCACATCTTTTACAGATTGAGAAATAACACCTTTCTTTGGGCCTGACTTCTCAAGCTCCTTTAGCTAAAATCACCAATAAACATATAAACAGAGCTGTAGAAGTACAATATAAGCTGAAACAGAGCTATCTTGTCTTTGAAAACAAGGTCATCATCCACTAAACTTTGGATCACATCTTTTACAGATTGAGAAATAACACCTTTCTTTGGGCCTGACTTCTCAAGCTCCTTTAGCTAAAATCACCAATAAACATATAAACAGAGCTGTAGAAGTACAATATAAGCTGAAACCATTGACATTGTTCACAATGACAAAGAGATTAACCACATTTGAAATTACAGAACTCAATTGAAATCAATTCGAATAGGGTTCGCAAATTAAAATTACAAAAAATTGAATGAATTCATTAAAATTATAGCATTAGGGCGTGATAATACTCACAAGGAAGAAATCTTGAGAGTCGTAAAAGATTTGAAGCATCTTCTCACGCTTCTCATCCACTAGAGAGATGGCGAGCTTGGCAAGCTCGATGAGATGGATGGGGCGAGCTCGGTGACCTAGATAGCGCAAGGGAGATGGCGATCTCGGCGAGTTCCATTACGTGGATGGCACGAGGGGAGATGGTGCTTCAGATATGTAATAGAGATATGAGATTGGAGGCAGAGCTCGGAGACGACGACAACCAAGGGGCTAAAGATGGGTCGCAAACAGTGACCTGTGTCGGCGAGCTCGGTGACGACCACAGAGAACAAATGGGAGGGAGATTCAGAGAGTTGAGGGTTTCGATTTTCAGAAGGAGGGAGATTCAGAGAGTTTAGGGTTTCGATTTTCAGAAGGAGGGAGAGAGAGGGATGTTCCATTTTCAAAAGGAGGGCGAATTCTGAAATGTTTTGGTCGAGGGTGAATAACTTAAGTGTCCTTTTGTTTTAGCGTGTTTTCAAAGGACGACGTTTGTCAATTCCACACCGTAGTGTTTTTAAAATCAACTGCTTTTAGTGGTGTACTAGATTACATACCACGACTGTTTTTTAAAAAAACCGTCGTTTTTTGAAATACAATGACGGTTTTTAGGTTAACTGTCGTCTAGTTTGTGTCGTTGTTTAACAATTTTGTAGTAGTGCCAAGAATTAACAGAAGATAATATTTGTTTTAATTAGTATTATTTGTTATTATTACATGAATAATATAGATGAATATTCATACATGTAGGAAAAGGAAATTTTGCTATTTTTTTGCTTTCAGTATAATGTATATTGGGACAATTATTTGCTATTATCTACTTCTCATACTCAACACATATTGCTTTAGTAAGGATGGGAAAGAATGTGGGAAGTTCATCAAAAGCTCCAGCTACATGGCTTCATAGTAAGGGTGAGGATGTTGATGTACAACAAGAACTTCATAGTCTTCATGACAATGGAACACAAGAGATGGAAGCATTGAGAAATAGAATCGCTACAAGTTTAATGAATGCATCTAATTAGCTTCTTTGATATTGTAGTGATCTATTTGGGCATGTTAAAATTGAACAAGTTTTGTATATTTGTTATGCTAACCCTCTCCGAAGCCCTCAAAACACATTGTTATTATTAATATAACAAGGCTTATTATCACAAAACGTCCCTGATGTTTGCGAAATTATCACATTGCATCTCTAATGTTTTTTTGTATCATTAATGGTCCCTAACGTTAATACATGTACTCTTAAATAGTCATTCTGTCAAAAGAACCGTTAAATCTAGGGGTATAATCGTCAAATCAATCCAAAATTTTATAAAAAAAAATTCTTCCCTTCTCTCTCTCTCTCTGTTTCTCTTTTTTTTTTTCTCCTCTCTTTCCTCCTCTTTTCTTCTTCTTTTCCTTCGCTGTTT